GTTACAGCCAGTCAGACTGGAGCAATGACTGGAGCAATGTAGCCAACGAGTTACAGCCAGTCAGACTGGAGCAATGACTGGAGCAATGTAGCCAAAGAGTTACAGCCAGTCTGGGTAAAACATAAGAGTATATAAAGTTAAAAGATATAAGACGCTATTCCTCTTCGAGTCTGGCTTGCAATGCACCTAAAGAAGTAGATAAGGTGGAAACGGCTCCACCACTACTCATAACATCCTCGCACTCTATTTAGTGTAACAGCAAAGCCTGCACACATATAGAGAACCATGTAATTGCCAGCTTAGTCGAGGATAGCATCAACACTCTATACCATCAATGAGTTTGCCCCAGAAATACCAATTGTTTATGTTTTCAAATTGTATGTCAACGTATTTTTGTATGCTGGATATATCAATTATGTGTTATGTTGGTTGACTTTTCTATATATGTTATATATACGATAGTAATTAAATGTTGTACCTTAACTATTCAGTTGTCATTTGTTTAGCTCACAATTTGGATGGCTTTTCACAATAGGGTCTGACATATGACCCAAAACCTGTTTGTACCCTTCAGGTCTTTTCCCTCCATGAAGAAACTGATAGTGCTATTGAAAAGTAAACCTAAATTAACACCACAGACAGACAGACATTCTTTATTTCCATTGATAAGATATTACAGTGACATGACACTGGACTAGTACAGTGACCCGATACTGGAAAAGCACAGTGACCCAACACTAGACAAGTATAGTAGCCTGACACTAGACAAGTACAGTGACCTGATACTGGACAAGTACAGTAACCTGACACTGGACAAGTACAGTAACCTGACACTGGACAAGTACAGTAACCTGACATTGGACAAGTACAGTAACCTGACACTAGACAAGTATAGTGACCTGACATTGGACAAGTACAGTGACCTGATATTGGACAAGTACAGTAACCTGACACTGGACAAGTACAGTAACCTGACATTGGACAAGTACAGTAACCTGACACTGGACAAGTACAGTAACCTGACATTGGACAAGTACAGTAACCTGACACTGGACAAGTACAGTAACCTGACATTGGACAAGTACAGTAACCTGACATTGGGCAAGTACAGTAACCTGACACTAGACAAGTACAGTGACCTGACATTGGACAAGTACAGTAACCTGACATTGGACAAGTACAGTGACCTGACACTAGACAAGTACAGTAACCTGATACTGGACAAGTACAGTAACCTGACATTGGACAAGTACAGTAACCCGACACTAGACAAGTATAGTGACCCGACACTGGACAAGTACAGTAACCTGACATTGGACAAGTATAGTAACCTTACACTGGACAAGTACAGTGACCCGACACTGGACAAGTACAGTAACCTGACACTGGACAAGTACAGTAACCTGACATTGGACAAGTACAGTAACCTGACATTGGACAAGTACAGTAACCTGACATTGGACAAGTACAGTAACCTGACATTGGACAAGTACAGTAACCTGACATTGGACAAGTACAGTAACCTGACATTGGACAAGTACAGTAACCTGACATTGGACAAGTACAGTAACCTGACATTGGACAAGTACAGTAACCTGACATTGGACAAGTACAGTAACCTGACATTGGACAAGTACAGTAACCTGACATTGGACAAGTACAGTAACCTGACATTGGACAAGTACAGTAACCTGACATTGGACAAGTACAGTAACCTGACATTGGACAAGTACAGTAACCTGACATTGGACAAGTACAGTAACCTGACATTGGACAAGTACAGTAACCTGACATTGGACAAGTACAGTAACCTGACATTGGACAAGTACAGTAACCTGACATTGGACAAGTACAGTAACCTGACATTGGACAAGTACAGTAACCTGACATTGGACAAGTACAGTAACCTGACATTGGACAAGTACAGTAACCTGACATTGGACAAGTACAGTAACCTGACATTGGACAAGTACAGTAACCTGACATTGGACAAGTACAGTAACCTGACATTGGACAAGTACAGTAACCTGACATTGGACAAGTACAGTAACCTGACATTGGACAAGTACAGTAACCTGACATTGGACAAGTACAGTAACCTGACATTGGACAAGTACAGTAACCTGACATTGGACAAGTACAGTAACCTGACATTGGACAAGTACAGTAACCTGACATTGGACAAGTACAGTAACCTGACATTGGACAAGTACAGTAACCTGACATTGGACAAGTACAGTAACCTGACATTGGACAAGTACAGTAACCTGACATTGGACAAGTACAGTAACCTGACATTGGACAAGTACAGTAACCTGACATTGGACAAGTACAGTAACCTGACATTGGACAAGTACAGTAACCTGACATTGGACAAGTACAGTAACCTGACATTGGACAAGTACAGTAACCTGACATTGGACAAGTACAGTAACCTGACATTGGACAAGTACAGTAACCTGACATTGGACAAGTACAGTAACCTGACATTGGACAAGTACAGTAACCTGACATTGGACAAGTACAGTAACCTGACATTGGACAAGTACAGTAACCTGACATTGGACAAGTACAGTAACCTGACATTGGACAAGTACAGTAACCTGACATTGGACAAGTACAGTAACCTGACATTGGACAAGTACAGTAACCTGACATTGGACAAGTACAGTAACCTGACATTGGACAAGTACAGTAACCTGACATTGGACAAGTACAGTAACCTGACATTGGACAAGTACAGTAACCTGACATTGGACAAGTACAGTAACCTGACATTGGACAAGTACAGTAACCTGACATTGGACAAGTACAGTAACCTGACATTGGACAAGTACAGTAACCTGACATTGGACAAGTACAGTAACCTGACACTGGACAAGTACAGTAACCTGACATTGGACAAGTACAGTAACCTGACACTGGACAAGTACAGTAACCTGACATTGGACAAGTACAGTAACCTGACACTGGACAAGTACAGTAACCTGACATTGGACAAGTACAGTAACCTGACACTGGACAAGTACAGTAACCTGACATTGGACAAGTACAGTAACCTGACACTGGACAAGTACAGTAACCTGACATTGGACAAGTACAGTAACCTGACACTGGACAAGTACAGTAACCTGACATTGGACAAGTACAGTAACCTGACACTGGACAAGTACAGTAACCTGACATTGGACAAGTACAGTAACCTGACACTGGACAAGTACAGTAACCTGACATTGGACAAGTACAGTAACCTGACACTGGACAAGTACAGTAACCTGACATTGGACAAGTACAGTAACCTGACATTGGACAAGTACAGTAACCTGACACTGGACAAGTACAGTAACCTGACATTGGACAAGTACAGTAACCTGACACTGGACAAGTACAGTAACCTGACATTGGACAAGTACAGTAACCTGACATTGGACAAGTACAGTAACCTGACACTGGACAAGTACAGTAACCTGACATTGGACAAGTACAGTAACCTGACATTGGACAAGTACAGTAACCTGACACTGGACAAGTACAGTAACCTGACATTGGACAAGTACAGTAACCTGACATTGGACAAGTACAGTAACCTGACACTGGACAAGTACAGTAACCTGACATTGGACAAGTACAGTAACCTGACATTGGACAAGTACAGTAACCTGACACTGGACAAGTACAGTAACCTGACATTGGACAAGTACAGTAACCTGACATTGGACAAGTACAGTAACCTGACACTGGACAAGTACAGTAACCTGACATTGGACAAGTACAGTAACCTGACACTGGACAAGTACAGTAACCTGACATTGGACAAGTACAGTAACCTGACACTGGACAAGTACAGTAACCTGACATTGGACAAGTACAGTAACCTGACACTGGACAAGTACAGTAACCTGACATTGGACAAGTACAGTAACCTGACATTGGACAAGTACAGTGACCCGACAGTGGACAAATACAGTAACCTGACATTGGACAAGTACAGTAACCTGACACTGGACAAGGACAGTAACCTGACACTAGACAAGTACAGTAACCTGCCATTGGACAAGTACAGTGACCTGACACTGGACAAGTACAGTAACCTGACACTGGAGATGTATAGTTATTAGTTATTAGTTAACTTACCTGGCACTAGAGAAGTAAGGGTGACCTTCTTTTTCATACTTCCGAATGACTGGAGCCTTTAATGCCTGTTCTTCCTCCTCAGACCACTACAAACAAGAGATTCAATTTTAGCTGTTTCTGTTTCAATTTCATGTATAAAAAGCAAACAAGAACTCTTGACAGACTCATTTACCCTAAAAACTAGAAATATTAGGGTATTTCCTACTCTATATGGCCAATTGCACACATAACAATCATTAGTCCACGTTAGACTCTCATTAGGAATTTTTGGGTGAGAAGTTGACTATCCTCCAATGAAACCATAGCAATAATATTCAAATTATTACTCTATAACATACTTGCCAACTATCTCTATTTAGGAGGGAGACTCCCGATTGTGAGCTCTAAAACTTAGCATTTTTAATTGGTGAATTTGCTTAACCATTCCTATTTTAAAAAATCTGATGATTTCATCTGAAAAAAAGATGCCATTTAAAAGTGTTAATTTTCTCTAGGGTGTACATGCCCAGATTTTTTTCATGCTTTCAACTCTGAGAACGTAATCTCCCCAATGAAAATTTCAAAAAGTTGGCAAGTATGCTATAACTTTCAGGCAGAAATGAAATATTTTATAAAAATCACGATGAATCCTATGCTACGCCACAGGTCCATGCTGTTAAGCAAGAAGCAAGCTCTCTCTAGCTCACTATCAGGCACGTCCGCTTCCCACTTCTAGCTCACTGTCAGGCACATCAACTTCCCACTTCTAGCTCTCTCTAGCTTACTGTCAGGCACAACTGCCTCTCACTTCTAGCTCTCTATAGCTCACTGTCAGGCATGTCCGCTTCCCACTTCTAGCTCACTGTCAGGCACATTAGCTTCCCACTTCTAGCTCTCTCTAGCTCACTGTCAAGCACAAATGCTTCCCACTTCTACCTCACTGTCAGGCACCAATGCTTCCCACTTCTAGCTCACTGTCAGGCACATTAGCTTCCCACTTCTAGCTCTCTCTAGCTCACTGCTAGGCAAATGTTTCCCACTTCTAGCTCTCTCTAGCTCACTGTCAGGCCCCAATGCTTCCCACTTCTAGCTCACTGTCAGGCACAAATGCTTCCCACTTCTACCTCACTGTCAGGCACCAATGCTTCCCACTTCTAGCTCTCTCTAGCTCACTGCTAGGCAAATGTTTCCCACTTCTAGCTCTCTCTAGCTCACTGTCAGGCACAAATGCTTCCCACTTCTAGCTCTTTCTAGCTCACTGTCAGGCACATCCGCTTCCCACTTCTAGCTCACTGTCAGGTACAAATGCCTCCCACTTCTAGCTCTCTCTAGCTCACTATCAGGCACGTCCGCTTCCCACTTCTAGCTCTCTCACTGTCAGGCATGTCCGCTTCCCACTTCTAGCTCACTGTCAGGCACATCAACTTCCCACTTCTAGCTCTCTCTAGCTCATTGTCACGACCCGAGAAAATCGCTCTTTCCAGCATTCACCATGAAATTCACCAGTAATATTATATCTACTCTTAACTTCCTTTGTGAATGTTCAAAATGATTCTTCAATATCAACAAATAACAGGACGATGACAAGTTTTCCGCTTACTCAATTTTCAAATGTTATGGTGTCCACAGTGTCGTTAACAAATGATGTCAATAATCAAATTTTCTTTTCTGATTGTTACAATACAAAATATGACAAAAAGCTAGCACAAACTGATGCAACAAGAGGCCCAAGGGCCTTAGCGGTCACCTGAGTTATATCATAGGTACTGGTAGCTTTATTTTATTGTTTAGATGTGATGTGGAAAGCAGCATGTAAATTAAGTGAAAAACAATACTTGTCATGTCATCAAAGGATAAGAATTTTAAAATATTGGTAAATGTTCCCTTTGGGGCCCTGCCCTAGCCCCTGGGTATGGGGCAGCAATCCCATTTTTACAATGTAATACCCTCATTCACCAAAGATGATTCTAACTAACTTTGAGTAATTTTCTGCTGAAAATTTGATAAAATATTCCCAAAAGTGTTATTTACCAATATACACTATAGTAAACTTTACCTCCTCCCCAAGGGAGAACGGATAGCTTGGGGACCCTGAAATTTACAATTTAAGTATAGCCCCTTATGATCTTTCTGTAGACTGTAGTACCTCTGAGTCTGGAGAAGAAGCATTTTGAAATATTGGTTAATTTTCCCTTTGGGGCCCTGCCCTGGCCCCATGGGGTGGGGATAGGAATCTCAATTTTACAATTTGAAACTATCTTCCTCCAAGGATAATTCTCACCAAGTAAAAATAATTTCCTACAGAAAGATGTCAAAATATATACCCAAGTGTTATTTCCCTATATAAACTATAGTTGTATTTATGCAGTGCATAAAGTAATTTATATTATCTGGTTAGTATATGATATTTTTATTTGTTATATTTTGTTGGTTCCAGATGGAGGATAACTTTCCCTTTTTTAAACTAGTCCATCCCTATAGAAGTAGTCACGTGATGTTTTGGTGTACTAAAGTCACGTGACCTGTGCAGAATTTTTTCAATGGTGACATTTTGAAAAATCTCCTTAAACAAGAGGCCCAAGGGCCTTAGCGGTCACCTGAGTTATATCATAGATACTGGTAGCTTTATTTTATTGTTTAGATGTGATGTGGAAATCAGCATGTAAACTAAGTGAAATTCAATACTTGTCATGTCATCAATGGATAAGAATTTGAAAATATTGGTAAATGTTTCCTTTGGGGCCCCGCTCTAGCCCCTGGGGATGGGGCAGGAATCCTAATTTTACAAAGTAAAACTCTCATTTACCCAAGATGATTCTGACTAAGTTTGAGCAATTTTCTGCTGAAAATATATAAAATATATACCGAAAAGTGTTATTTCCCTATATAAACTATATTAAACGTTAACCCCTCCCCAAGGGAGAACGGATAGCTCGGGGTCCTGATATTTTCAATTTAAATAAAGCCCCTGATGATCTTTCTTTCCACGTAAAGAAAATCACTGTAGTACCTCTGAGTCTGGAGAAGAAGATTTTTGAAATATTGATTAATTTTCCCTTTGGGGCCCCGCCCTGGCCCCAGGGGTCGGGGTAGGAATCTCAATTTTACAATTTGAAACCATCTACCTCCAAGGATAATTCTCACCAAGTAAAAATAATTTCCTACAGAAAGTTGTCAAAATATACCCAAAAGTGTTATTTCCCTATATAAACTATAGTAAACTTTACCCCCTCCCCAAGGGAGAACGGATAGCTCGGGGGTCCTGAAATTTACAATTTAAGTAAAGCCCCTGATGATCTTTCTTTCCACGTAGAGAAAATCACTGTAGTACCTCTGAGTCTGGAGAAGAAGATTTTTGAAATATTGATTAATTTTCCCTTTGGGGCCCCGCCCTGGCCCCAGGGGTCGGGGTAGGAATCTCAATTTTACAATTTGAAACCATCTACCTCCAAGGATAATTCTCACCAAGTAAAAATAATTTCCTACAGAAAGTTGTCAAAATATACCCAAAAGTGTTATTTCCCTATATAAACTATAGTAAACTTTACCCCCTCCCCAAGGGAGAACGGATAGCTCGGGGGTCCTGAAATTTACAATTTAAGTAAAGCCCCTGATGATCTTTCTTTCCACGTAGAGAAAATCACTGTAGTACCTCTGAGTCTGGAGAAGAAGATTTTTGAAATATTGGATAATTTTCCCTTTGGGGCCCCGCCCTGGCCCCAGGGGTTGGGGTAGGAATCCCAATTTTACAATTTTGAAGCCTCATCTACCAAGGATGATTCTGACCAAGTTTGAAAAAAATCCATCCACTGGTTCTTGAGAAGAAGTTGAAAATGTAAAAGTTTACGCACGACGCACGACGGACGACGACGGACGAAAAGCGATTGGAATAGGTCACTTGAGCAAAGCTCAGGTGACCTAAAAATCAGTTACCCTCCTCCTCCCCTAATTTGTATCTACCCTTATGTACTATTGTGTAAAAATCTAATTGTTGCACATCTTTGTTTTAAATTTTGTTTCATTTGTTATTTTGAAGCAAGCCCCATCTTTTTTGGTTCTTTGAACACCTTATTATAAAAATCAACACAAAGATGTATACATATGCTCGATTTCTGGCATTTAGAATAAATGCTCATTTTCGACAATTTAAGTGTTTGTTATTTTATCGACAAAAAACATAGCCGAGTATAACCTGTGTGTGCTGTTGGGTTTAGTGCAAACTAAACACGATAATATAATAAACTTAACCCCCTCCCCAAGGGAGAATGGATAGCTCGGGGGTCTTAAAATTTACAATTTAAGTAAAGCCCTTGATGATCTTTCTTTCCATGCAGAGAAAATGACTGTAGTACCTCTGAGTCTGGAGAAGAATATTTTTGAAATATTGGTTAATTTTCCCTTTGGGGCACCGCCCTGGCCCCAGGGGTTGGGGTAGGAATCCCAATTTTACAATTGTGTAGCCTCATCTACCAAGGATGATTCTGACCAAGTTTGAAAAATATCCATCCACTGGTTCTTGAGAAGAAGTTGAAAATGTAAAAAGTTTACGCACGACGGACGGAAAGCGATTAGAATAGGTCATTTGAGCAAAGCTCAGGTGACCTAAAAATGTTTTATGGTTGTGTCCATGGACTATATCAGAAACCTTTAGTCACAGGAAATTGTTTTGTTCCACTGTATCTTATAAAGACAGAGAGACTTGAAAATGTAAATATAAGTACTGAACTGCTTTCAGATGCGGTTCATAGGTTCTATGAATGCCCACTGATTTACAGGAAAATAAAACATGAACGCTAACATGGTTCATGTCATTTTCCTGTAATGCAGTGGGCATTCATAGAGCCTATGAACCAGATTCGAAAACAGTTTAATGTTTAAGTGAGTATCCAAGGATATGCAGACATATACCTGTCGATTGTTATATCCACCCCAATGCCTTTTCCCATTTTTTTTTAATTTAAAAGGGTGACAAAATGAGTCAATCTGCCATTGACCCCCCAAGTCTCTAGCTAATAGTAGTAATATTTGCCAGGTTAACCTCTTTGCCCTCGCGCTGTCGTTGTTCTCTTGTTATCTGAGCCAGAACATTGGCTGCCTGTTCTCCTCCCATCACAGAAATCCTAGAGTTCGGCCACATGTACAGAAATCGGGGCCTGAAAGATCAAAGAATAATAGTGACCACATGTACAGAAACCAGGGCCTGAAAGATCAAGGTTATAATGGCCACATGTACAGAAACTGAGGCCTGAAAGATCAAAGGATAATAGTGACCACATGTACAGGAACCAGGGCCTAAAAGATCAAGGTTATAATGGCCACATGTACAGGAACCAGGGCCTAAAAGATCAAGGTTATAATGGCCACATGTACAGAAACCAGGGCCTGAAAGATCAAGGTTATAATGGCCACATGTACAGAAACCAGGGCCTGAAAGATCAAGGTTATAATGGCCACATGTACAGAAACCAGGGCCTGAAAGATCAAGGTTATAATGGCCACATGTACAGAAACCAGGGCCTGAAAGATCAAGGTTATAATGGCCACATGTACAGGAACCAGGGCCTGAAAGATCAAGGTTATAATGGCCACATGTACAGAAACCAGGGCCTGAAAGATCAAGGTTATAATGGCCACATGTACAGGAACCAGGGCCTGAAAGATCAAGGTTATAATGGCCACATGTACAGAAACCAGGGCCTGAAAGATCAAGGTTATAATGGCCACATGTACAGGAACCAGGGCCTGAAAGATCAAGGTTATAATGGCCACATGTACAGAAACCAGGGCCTGAAAGATCAAGGTTATAATGGCCACATGTACAGGAACCAGGGCCTGAAAGATCAAGGTTATAATGGCCACATGTACAGAAACCAGGGCCTGAAAGATCAAGGTTATAATGGCCACATGTACAGGAACCAGGGCCTGAAAGATCAAGGTTATAATGGCCACATGTACAGAAACCAGGGCCTGAAAGATCAAGGTTATAATGGCCACATGTACAGGAACCAGGGCCTGAAAGATCAAGGTTATAATGGCCACATGTACAGAAACCAGGGCCTGAAAGATCAAGGTTATAATGGCCACATGTACAGGAACCAGGGCCTGAAAGATCAAGGTTATAATGGCCACATGTACAGAAACCAGGGCCTGAAAGATCAAGGTTATAATGGCCACATGTACAGGAACCAGGGCCTGAAAGATCAAGGTTATAATGGCCACATGTACAGAAACCAGGGCCTGAAAGATCAAGGTTATAATGGCCACATGTACAGGAACCAGGGCCTGAAAGATCAAAGGATAATAGTGACCACATGTACAGGAACCAGGGCCTAAAAGATCAAGGTTATAATGGCCACATGTACAGGAACCAGGGCCTAAAAGATCAAGGTTATAATGGCCACATGTACAGGAACCAGGGCCTGAAAGATCAAGGTTATAATGGCCACATGTACAGGAACCAGGGCCTGAAAGATCAAAGGATAATAGTGACCACATGTACAGGAACCAGGGCCTAAAAGATCAAGGTTATAATGGCCACATGTACAGGAACCAGGGCCTAAAAGATCAAGGTTATAATGGCCACATGTACAGGAACCAGGGCCTGAAAGATCAAGGTTATAATGGCCACATGTACAGGAACCAGGGCCTGAAAGATCAAGGTTATAATGGCCACATGTACAGGAACCAGGGCCTGAAAGATCAAAGGATAATAGTGACCACATGTACAGGAACCAGGGCCTAAAAGATCAAGGTTATAATGGCCACATGTACAGAAACCAGGGCCTAAAAGATCAAGGTTATAATGGCCACATGTACAGGAACCAGGGCCTAAAAGATCAAAGTTATAATGGCCACATGTACAGGAACCAGGGCCTGAAAGATCAAAGGATAATAGTGACCACATGTACAGGAACCAGGGCCTAAAAGATCAAGGTTATAATGGCCACATGTACAGGAACCAGGGCCTAAAAGATCAAGGTTATAATGGCCACATGTACAGGAACCAGGGCCTAAAAGATCAAGGTTATAATGGCCACATGTACAGGAACCAGGGCCTGAAAGATCAAAGGATAATAGTGACCACATGTACAGGAACCAGGGCCTAAAAGATCAAGGTTATAATGGCCACATGTACAGGAACCAGGGCCTAAAAGATCAAGGTTATAATGGCCACATGTACAGGAACCAGGGCCTGAAAGATCAAGGTTATAATGGCCACATGTACAGGAACCAGGGCCTGAAAGATCAAAGGATAATAGTGACCACATGTACAGGAACCAGGGCCTAAAAGATCAAGGTTATAATGGCCACATGTACAGAAACCAGGGCCTAAAAGATCAAGGTTATAATGGCCACATGTACAGGAACCAGGGCCTGAAAGATCAAAGGATAATAGTGACCACATGTACAGGAACCAGGGCCTAAAAGATCAAGGTTATAATGGCCACATGTACAGGAACCAGGGCCTAAAAGATCAAGGTTATAATGGCCACATGTACAGGAACCAGGGCCTGAAAGATCAAGGTTATAATGGCCACATGTACAGGAACCAGGGCCTGAAAGATCAAGGTTATAATGGCCACATGTACAGAAACCAGGGCCTGAAAGATCAAGGTTATAATGGCCACATGTACAGAAACCAGGGCCTGAAAGATCAAGGTTATAATGGCCACATGTACAGAAACCAGGGCCTGAAAGATCAAGGTTATAATGGCCACATGTACAGAAACCAGGGCCTGAAAGATCAAGGTTATAATGGCCACATGTACAGAAACCAGGGCCTGAAAGATCAAAGGATAATAGTGACCACATGTACAGGAACCAGTGCCTAAAAGATCAAAGAATAATAGTGACCAGATGTACATGAACCAGGGCCTAAAAGATCAAGGTTATAATGGCCACATGTACAGGACTGGGGCCTGAAAAATGAATTATAGGCCATTCATTTGAACATTTTATAGTCCATTATCCAAACAGGCTACTGACCAAATCTTATCACCCTTAGCCTTTTCGATATTGAGTTATTAAATCATTTTCACACATTTAACCCATGTGACCTTGAAAAGGTCAAGGTCATTCTTTTAACAAGAGCCCCATGGGCCTTTACGGTCACCTGATATATTTATACAGAGAGCTGATTTTGTTTTTAACACGAACAGAAATATTATTCAGTGACAAAAAACAATAAAACCACCTTATTCAATATCTAGCATACAGATTTAAGACTAAAAAGTATTTGAAACTAGCGCCTCTGATTCTAAACAAGGAAAATGAAGAAATTTTAGCACACTGACTCCTTTGGGCCCCACCCTACAGCCCTTGGGGTAGGGCTGGCTCAAAATTTTCAAAGTATCAAACTGTCAACTCAGGGTTATGATTACAATCAAGTTATTAACATGTAATATTCAAAGTATCATTTGCCATTATAAACCATAATAAATTTTGCCCCCCTCCTTCCCCAGGGGGTAAACGTGAGACCCTAGGGTCATAAACTTTAAGACCCTTCCATCTATGAAGAGTGTTTGATTCTACCATATCTGGGTCTTGAGAGAAGATTTTTGAAATTTCAGTCAATTCGACCCTTTTGGCTCCACCCAATAGCCCCGGGGGGGCAGTCAGGGCTCATATGTGCATACCATCAAACTGCTATCCAATACTGATAATGCTAACCTAAATTTAATTACCTCCAATGGCAATTAAACAAATGTTGGTCCAAAATGTGATTTCCCCATATTAAATATAGTAAAGTTTACCCCCTCCCCAAGGGTACACATGAGACCCCAGGGTCATAAAATTCACAATTGTGGTAGAGCACCTTAAAACCCTTTTATCTGTGAAGAGGGTTTGATTCTACCATATCTGGGTCTTGAGAAGAAGATTTTTGGAATTTCAGTCAATTCGACCCTTTTGGCTCCACCCAATAGCCCCGGGGGGGCAGTCAGGGCTCATATGTGCATACCATCAAACTGCTATCCAATACTGATAATGCTAACCTAAATTTAATTACCTCCAATGGCAATTAAACAAATGTTGGTCCAAAATATGATTTCCCCATATAAACTATAGTAAAGTTTACCCCCTCCCCAAGGGAACACGTGAGACCCCAGGGTCATAAAATTCACAATTTTCGTAGAGCACCTTAAGACCCTTCCATCTATGAAGAGTGTTTGATTCTACCATATCTGGGTCTTGAGGAGAAGATTTTTGAAATTTCAGTCAATTCGACCCTTTTGGCTCCACCCAATAGCCCCGGGGGGTCAGTCAGGGCTCATATGTGCATACCATCAAACTGCTATCCAATACTGATAATGCTAACCTAAATTTAATTACCTCCAATGGCAATTAAACAAATGTTGGTCCAAAATGTGATTTCCCCATATAAACGATAGTAAAGTTTACCCCCTCCCCAAGGGTACACGTGAGACCCCAGGGTCATAAAATTCACAATTTTGGTAGAGCACCTTAAAACCCTTTTATCTGTGAAGAGTGTTTGATTCTACCATATCTGGGTCTTGAGAAGAAGATTTTTGAAATTTCAGTCAATTCGACCCTTTTGGCTCCACCCAATAGCCCCGGGGGGTCAGTCAGGGCTCATATGTGCATACCATCAAACTGCTATCCAATACTGATAATGCTAACCCAAATTGATTTACTTCCAATGGCAATTAAACAAATGTTGGTCCAAAATGTGATTTCCCCATATAAACTATAGTAAAGTTTACCCCCTCCCCAAGGGTACACGTGAGACCCCAGGGTCATAAAATTCACAATTTTGGTAGAGCACCTTAAAACCCTTTTATCTGTGAAGAGTGTTTGATTCTACCATATCTGGGTCTTGAGAAGAAGATTTTTGAAATTTCAGTCAATTCGACCCTTTTGGCTCCACCCAATAGCCCCGGGGGGTCAGTCAGGGCTCATATGTGCATACCATCAAACTGCTATCCAATACTGATAATGCTAACCTAAATTTAATTACCTCCAATGGCAATTAAACAAATGTTGGTCCAAAATGTGATTTCCCTATATAAACTATAGTAAAGTTTACCCCCTCCCAAGGGGGAAACGTGAGACCCTAGGGTCAAGAAATTCACAATTTTGGTAAAGCACCTTAAGATCCTTCCATCTATGAAGAGTATTTGATTCTACAATATCTGGGTCTTGAGAAGAAGATTTTTGAAATTTTAGTCAATTTGACCCTTTTTGGCCCCGCCCCTCAGGCCGGGGACCAAACTGGCAACTTTTTGACCTTTTTGGCCATGGAAGGTTTCTGCAAAATTTCACTGAAATTGGTTAAGGGGTTTTGGAGAAGAAGTCGAAAATGTAAATTGAGACTTTGTCTCAGGTGACCTAAAAATGTTGAAAGCCTTTCATCCCTGTATGCTACTGGTAAATATTACCATCTTTGATTTTTTTTTAGTTATTTAGAAGATGTTTTATTTAGAGATATTTCAAACATTTGACCTTGAAATTAGGTCAAAGTGATTCTGAACAATCTTGTTAACCCTTAAGCTCAGCAAACTATTAGTCATGCATCATCACTGTGGGCTTTTTGGATATTGAGAAGTTTGTTTTTTATACATTTGACGACCCATGCGACCTTGAAAGAGGGTCAACATCTGAATTTGAACAAACTTTGTAGCCCCTGACAAAGATCCCTGAAATGATTTCTAAGTCATGGTGCTAGTAAACTTTAATTCTCAAAATTCAAGAGGGCTGCCTTCTTTATTTTCTTATCAGTCTTTAATTTTGTATGTGTAACTAGGGACTATGAGGGACATTCATGTGAAAGTTGTGAAAAATCTCACTAGTGTTTTCTGAGAAATAAGCGCTAACAAGTATTTCTGTTGAACATTCACTGAGTCATTGCTCTAAATCCAGTCCATGATGTACAGAGGGTGTCTTACCCATATGCTCTTCCACACATCCCATAATTGCCTGCCCCATAGGACCCACCAACAATGACAGTGAACTTTGGAACTTTGGCGCAGGCCACAGCAGTCACCATCTTAGCACCATTCTTGGCTATACCTCCTGCCTCAGCTTCTCGACCAACCATGAAACCTTGAGGAAATTAATAAACATATCAATGCAATTAGCTGTTATTCTTCTCTATTTAGTCTGACATTGATAACTAATGTCCCTGTACACTGGATTTATCACCTTATGACCACAGATCATGACAAGTTTCCATGATGTCAACAACAATACATGTGGGCAGAGTCATGTAAGTCAAAGTGGGCAGAGGTAACCAACACTTAAAAATTTAATTTGTGTCCGTTGATCAGACTTCATATGAAATTTGTCAAATAGTTTTTGCAGAGATGGAAGCGGGATTATGGGAAAAATTAAAAAGTTTGCATTACACTTAAATAAAGGTTACTTTGTTAAACATACATTTAACTATATATTTAGCTCACTCCCACTTTTATTGAAATGGAGCTGCAATGTAAATTCTAACCAAGGAAATGAGCTAATTAACAAGGAGTGAAGTGAAATAGTCACAATGCCATACAATTGATGGTGCAGTAATCCAGATGTGTACACATATGTAGCTGGGTGAGACTTCTATATATCCCAGTTACTGATCAATCCAAGATATCATAACGACACACAGAAATGACAAACTGGTTGCTTTAGAGAGAAACCGCTTTAGACAGGAGTGTAACAGTTTGTTATTTCATGTCTAAATGGAGCAGCCATTCATGTCTCAATGGAGCAACAGAGGTTCGAGGAGGTTCACAGGGTTCCGTCTTGTTATATTAGTGTTAAATATAAGACGAGGAGGTATATATAAAAATATGCCTACCATAGAGAGAAAAAGAGAGAGAGAGAGAAGATAAAATGTTGAGCCTACCAGTTAATGGCTTCTAAAGACTAAAGTAAAATACCTGGCCATCCAAAATATACCCAACAGAGTCCTGTACTATACATGATCTGGGCCTAATTCTTTAACAGCTACCCAATGAAAACAGTTATCGTAAAAATATCGACCAATGAACACAGCTCTATTAGCGGAAAAGGTATCTGTCTATATCCGATAAAAACACAAGAATATATCAACATGTTGTTCCACACAAGATAAAATAGTAATGTATGGCAGACAATCGACACTTAAATGAAAACCAGTCGGCAAAGATATACCCAAGGAGTGCTTATACGTTTTCAGAATGCAAAATACATAGTTGTAAAAACCAGCCATAAAAATAAGAGACAAAATTCCATTCCCGCTTCAGGTGATTGGGAATGTTTTAATCTTGGTTTTCCAATCCAACTCACCCGTAATGTTCTGTAGAAAAATGAGCGGAATGTTGCGTTGACAGCACAGTTCAATGAAGTGGGTACCCTACAAGGAATAAAGCACAAATCATTCTACTCTCATAACTATACATCTACATTTTGTATCTACAGTCAATAAATATCTCTTTCTGAACATTTTCTTCATGTTGGTAAATAGGGCATGGAGGGCATGACTTGGACAGTTTTTGACAATCTGATATTTAAAGGTTCACCATTGAATTCCTGGTCACATCTTGGGTCGAAATCAACCTGTCTTATGTTTCTTATCTAAGACTCTCTAGATCTGTAAGAGGATTTCATTGGTTGAGGGAGGTTGTGATCAAATCAGAAAGCCGGAAAGGCTGAGGTGCATAAACTTGGACAATGGAAAGGTTAACTCTGAAAATAAATTCCCTTAAAAAGAAAATGTATATCAATGGACCTATACAGCTGATTTATTTGTAGATGTTTCAGGTTTTTTACTGTTCACAATACCAAACATGATAAAAAGACATTAGCATTTTTTGCGCCGGTCACATGACCCGAGCACGAAGCAATACATTCCATTTGTAACCAGAAATATAAGTTTTTTCCTTATTCTCAATGTTTCACATTTGTTCTTCTCTTATCTGAGTAGTGGTTAGTTCATGGTGGTAATTAAGTCTTAAGGCATATTTCAAAGACATTTCTTTTGGGGTTTTGGGGGTATAAAAATACTTTCAATAGTATTATTCCACACATCTTCAAAAGTCTGCTGGATAACCGAAATACGCGGTAGTGAAGCGGACGTAAAACCTATCAATCAATCAATCAATCAACACCTTCAAAGTATTTTTTTTTCAATAAGCTGTTGGTTGTATTAAACTGAGGTTAACTTATGAACCTCCCTCGCCATCCGCACCGACAATGTCCATTTCTTGTTGTTATGAGTTTCAACAGTGTCAGGGTGATGAAGTTTTGGTCACTCTCTACGGGTATAATTGGTGTAGCTGGCACAATGTCCATAGTTGAAGAACTAGTAGGGGGAGGGGAAATTCAGAAGGAGTGATGCTTCGGCATAAGCAGGTGTGCTAGTATTAATTAATGGCATTGTAACCATGGCAAATTGGGAAGGTAAGGGGAACAGGAAATTCAGACAGAGTGATGCCTTAGCATGAGAACTGGAAGTATTAACTAGAATTTTGTTTTTGTGAACAAAAACATATGTCTCCTCTTGTTTAGCCAATAGAAAGGCTCCGGTACAAAAATTAACAAAGGGCCATATCGCTTTATATAGTGGGGCACGAGATTCAAATTTAGAATTTGACACTCCTACCTCCCAAGATACATTAAAACTTTAGCAAGTTTGGTCAATGTAGGTGAAACTAGAACACTGACAGGTCAGTAAGGGCCCCGTCTTGTGGCAATATATCGCCCTTAATCATCAAGAAGCAATCTGCCCATATAGCTGAGCTTGACGTTTGACATTTAGACTTCAAAAAGAATCGCAAGGAAGCAAAATATACATTTTACATGTACTATGATGTGAGTCTTGTTTCCTTCCACCTCCATATTTACTGGGCTACCAGAAATGTAAATACCGGTGCAATACTTATTTGTTAGCTTTGATTTGTTTTATTTCACCTTAAATACCTCCCCCATCAAGAGCCAGGGTCAAAGTCAGAGATCCACTTTGTCTTTGACCTTTGGACCCAAATGACCTTGACCTTTAACCCAGTGACCCTGATCTTTGGTCAGTTGACTCATTCTTCAATTCCGACCAACTTTGCTTCATAATATCATAACAAAATGTTCATCAGTGAAAAATACAAAACTTTACCTTGACCCTTTGGAACCCACAAAATTTGACCTTGACCTTTGACACAGTGACATTGACCTTTGGTCAATTGACTCCTTGTTTAATTCTGACCAACATTGATTGCTTCAAAGTGTCATAACAAAATGTTCCCCAGTGAAAAGATTCAGACAGAGTGATGCGTTAGCGCGAGTACAGGAAGGTGTGCCAGTATTGTAACTGGTTGTATAATATGAAGCTTCATCAAAAACATATCACAATTCATATTAGATTTTCACATACTACCACATCAAGTACTGCAGTCACATAGTATTGGTAGGTCTAGTGTATATAATGATATCAGGATGTCACATCATATATTTGTATATAACTGTGTGATCTAATATCAGATTTTAACAGCTTCTTTCTTTTTATGTAAATGAAGATTTGTTTTACCTTGAGAGCAGAATAGGAGAAGAGCACTCGTTATTGTTTTACCTTGAGAGCAGACTCAGAGAAGAGCACTCCATTATTGCCTATGATCCCCACTGGGTAACCCCACAGACGGGCAAATCCTGTGAAGACAATCATACTAAATCAAACTCATATCAAATCATTTATTCATCTTTTGCATTGCACTATATCTAGTCTTTTATTAAAATATTTAAATCGTTAATATGATTTAGTCATGATTTCTCTTAAAACAAGAGGCCCAGAGGGCCTGTATCGCTCACCTGGATATCTAAGCAATCATGGCAGTATATTTTCCAAATGAGATCCAAGGGAATAGGCCAGACCCCAAGGCTAATCCTTGTAGCATATCTGTATTAGATTTGTCATGCCCCACAATTTTATGTATTGTTATGGGGTGGGATCTCAACTGTTTCCAAGCTGTGACTCAGAAACTAGGTTCCGTAGGTTTGTGGCCAGACCCCAGGATCAATTCTAATATCATGACTGCATTTGTCTCTTTTTACCCAGCATTTGTATATATAGTTTTTGGGTGGGGATCTCAACCGTTTCAAAGTTATGACCCAGGCGTTAAGTCTTCGAGGTTGGGGCAGACCCTGGAGTCAATTCTAATCTCATGACTGCATTCTTCTCTTTATGCCCAACAATTGTATATATAGTTTTGGGGTGGGGATCTTAACCTTTTCGAAGTTATGACCAAGGGGTTAAGTCTCCAAGGGTGGGGCAGTCCCCAAGGCCATCCTGGAAACTTACGTGCATTCATCTCTTTATACTCAGCAATTGTATATATGGTTATAGGGTGGGGATCTCAACCATTTTCAAGTAAGAAACTTTTTTTGGCCCCACCCCTTAGCCCGGGGGGTCAGCCCAACCATTTGTACAATTTTGAATCCCTGCCTCCCATGAATGCTTCTGACCAAATATGATTGATATCCATGGCATAGTTCTACAGAAGAAGTCGTTTATAGCAATATAGCCAAATTGCCTCCTTTTGGCCCCGCCCTCAGCCCCACCATTTGTACAATTTTAAATCCCCACCACCTAGGGAAGCTTCCAGTCAAATATGGTTGATATCCATCTCTTAGTACCAGATCAGGAAGTCGCTTAAAGCAATATAGCCAAATTGAACCCTTTTTGCTCCCGCCCCTCAGCCCCCCGGGGGGTCAGCCCCATTATTTGTACAATTTTGAATCCCCACCACCTAGGGATGCTTCCAGTCAAATATGGTTGATATCCATCTCTTAGTACCAGAGAGGAAGTCGCTTAAAGCAATATAGCCAAATTGAACCCTTTTTGCCCCGCCCCTCAGCCCCCTGGGGGGTCAGCCCCACCATTTGTACAATTTTGAATCCCCACCACCTAGGGATGTTTCCAGTCAAATAAAGTTAAATTCCAATCAGTGGTTAAGAAGAATTCGTTTAAAGAAATTGTTGATGGACGGACGACGGACGCCACAGTATGGCATAAGCTCACCTTGGTCCTTCGGACCCGGTGAGCTAAAAAAACTGATTTGTTTGCTTCATACAAAATACTTTACATTTTAAGCAATTTTAACCTTGAAAAAAAACCCAGTAAAATTAAAATGATTATGGTTTCTTTTCATGCATTTCCAAAAATATTTTGTGATCAATATCAGAAAAATTCTGTAAATAAGATAGAAATTTCTTTTTAATAAAACAACATTAAACTTAAACCATGGTGTATTGAAAGTATCAATTCTGTTAATTTTTTAAATTATTTTCTTCCGAGTTGAGTATAATACCTGTGACAAGAGTTTCGCCATACATGGCCTTAAACTCGTCGAACCTGCTTCCATCAACTACACGGGCAATCACCTAAAACACAGAGACAACATAATATCAAAACTCAGTGTTACATCTCATGTTTTTGTCAATCTGTACTGGTGTGAGGCACCTTGATCTATAGATATACTGTTTTATTGTAAAGATGATCATACTACCACTTTACTTTTTATTCCTTTCTGACTATATGTACCAAAGAGAAAAGATTTTTTATTAAATTCAAAAGGAATGAACTCAACAAATTTTCTAAATTTACAAGTAAAATTTGAACTTTTTCACAGTTCCATAGCATATGCTCTATCGTTTCAATTTCTGTTTTACAAATGTTACAATTAGGACTGTCTACTAACCCAACTTTTAATAAATACGAGTTTGTTGTTAGAATATGGTGATTAACTCTAAATTGGAACCAATGCAATTTTGTATTTTTTGTTACAGAGAAAGGGAGTTTGAAAATCATTTTTCAATCATTTTACTTTTCCTCGCTTTGTGTATGATGCACATCACACTAGGACAACTTTAACTATTTAAAAAGCCCACTCCGCACCATATAGATCCTTATGTATTTCCACTAGTATATAAATACTAATACTAGAAAATGTCTGTAAGACATAAATGCCCCCGCTGCCATGTGGAATTAGTTTCAGTGTTCTATAAAAAGTTACAACCACTTTGATCTTGATACCCTGAAACATGCACACACACAAGGTACTACACTTAAAGTTGATAAGTTGATTTTTAAATTCATATGTTTTTTTCTGTATCTTATTACCATCCTGAAACACAAGGATGTTAGAGGTATACCCATATTTGACCTTTATATAAAGTTTGACCAAAATCCGTGAAAGAATGAAGTTGATAAGTGTTTAAATTGAATCAGTTGATGATTTTCTATATATAGCAAGTGTGACCTTGGCCTTGACCTTGGATCCCTGAAACACAACGATGTCCGTAGTATACTCATACTTGACCTTTGTATAAAGTTTGACCAATATCTGTCAAAGAATGAAGTTGCTAAGTGTTTACATTGAATCGGGACGGGACACAAAGGACATAGGCAACACTATATGCCCCTCCATTTTATGGCGGGGGCATAAAGAGTGCGACAGTGCCTAGGGTCACCCTGAGGGGTATCACTGTCACCGAGGTGAATTCTCTGACATAATTATAAGCAAATTAGCTAACTAGATGCAAAACAACATAAACACAAGTTAAAATACTACAAATAATAATATTTCTGAATTAAACACAAAAGTAAATAGCATAAAGTAATATGTATTCTACTGTGATTCTGTATGTTTTTTTTTATAAAGGATCATGTAATCATGTATTCATGAATGAATTAAGGATAATTCTACCACGTCTGTGATGTAACGACGGTTTTCGTTGGTGAAAAAGAGTGCATTATTGAGCGATATACCATGTGCATGCCAATAACAAATGGACGTGAAATAGTGCGCACGCATGCTGTTCCAACAACCTCCCCGTATTTTATCATGAATTAACAAAAATAGCATAACTGTCAGGCGGGATCAAAATGTTTGACAGGCCTGCCATTCAAAAGATCACACGGATCTATAGACCTAACGTATGTGGGTCCGTGCAGTGAAAATGGTTTATTAATTATTGACATTTAAAATGTACAGGTCTGAAGACAAAATGGTAAATTATTAATTACTTCTGTTTTTACTTCACTGGGTAGTGCTGTACATTTCACGATGTGTGCAGTGTGTGTATGTACTGTCAAGCGTTGATTTCATGTTTTGACGAACGATGTCGATAGCGTGCCATTGTTTGATTGATTGAAATGAACATCATATCTGACGTCACACGTCTTCAGTTGTTTCTGGTCTGCAAAACGTCGTCTGCTTTCAAAAAATCAAAGTGATGTCGAGCAATCGCCTACAGTGTACATACTGTGTGTGAAGAATAATGTTGCAAAAAGTAGCATCGGTCTGAACAGTGGTTGCAAAACACAGCTGTCCGGTAAAGTCGGTGAAGGTGAAGGTCGCGTCATGATCAGCCGGTCAGTGACTTTTCATCACATCATAGCAACCAACTAAATATGCCAACTCATGTCAGGCCTATCTTATGATGTTGTATCACTGGCACTACCAAGAAAATCCGCTTGATATCAGAAACGCAATCCGGGAATCCCAACCCTACGCACTGAGAAATGTTGGCCTGACATTGATATAGTTCAAACGAGGCAACACGATCAAGTGATAAATCTTGCACGCGCAAAAGAACAGCGTCTAATTTGTATATCAAATTATCTAGGTCATGTCACCTTATAAGACAGCAAAACTTTACAATTAGTTACATTTGACGTGGTAGAATAAAAATAATCAACTTATGTGCGTGCATTATGGTGGAATATATAACTCGGGATTCGAAAATGTTGGAAAAATAATTAACTCAGGCCGAAGCGCTCTTCGTTAATTATTTTTACCAGCATTTTCTCACCCTCGATATATATCCCACCATAATGCACGCACATATGTTGATTATTTCTTAAATAATATAACACATGATTAAGGAATATGATTTAAACATAACAAAATATCAAGATATCTAGATTGTTAAATTAAAACAAAACATTGTTCTGTTGCTGAAAGAACACCATGCTTTCCTTTTTTAACCAATTGTGAATTTTATAGATTTTAATGTAAAACAAAACATTTTTCTTGAACCAAATCCATTATATGAATGACTAGTCTGTACTGAAGTAGCAAATTATAAATACATTTTAGAATACATTTAAGAGTTATTACGGGAGGTAAACTCATAAAAAAATAAATTCATATTGAATCTTTCTGTCATTGTCAGTTCGTTCAAAACTGTCATTCTGAAATTTGTATCAGCCAGTACACGGTGTCAAAAAAGCATGACTTCCTAGATCAACTACATCATTTTTTGGAAGACTTTTATCCATAAACAAGAGGCCCAGAAGGCCTGTATCGCTCACCTGGATATCAAAGCAATCATGGCAAAATATTCTCCAAATAAGATCCAAAGGAATGGGGCAGACCCCAAGGACAATCCTTGTATCCTATCTGTATTAGATTTTTCATGCCCAGAAATTTTATGTATGGTTATGGGGTGGTGATCTCAACTGTTTCCAAGGTGTGACTCAGAAACTAGGTCCCTAGGGTTGTGGCCAGACCCCAGGATCAATTATAATATCATGACTGCATTCGTCTCTTTATGCCCAGCATATGTATATACAGTTTTGGGGTGGGGATCTCAACCGTTCAAAGTCATGACCCAGGGACTATGTCTCCAAGGGTAGGGCCAGACCCTAAATTACCCTTTTTGACCCCACCCCTCAGCCCCTTTGGGGTCAGCCCCACCATTTGTACAATTTTGAATCCCTGCCTCCCATGAATGCTTTTGATCAAATATGATTGATATCCAGTGCATAGTTCTACAGCAGAAGTCACTTAAAGCAATATAGCCAAATAACCCCCTTTTGGCCCCGCCCCTCAGCCCCCTGGGGGGTCAGTCACACCATTTGTACAATTTTGAATCACCACCACCTAGGAATGCTTCCAGTCCAATATGGTTGATATCCATCACTTAGTTCCAGAGAAGAAGTCGCTTAAAGCAACATAGCCTAACTGCCCCTTTTGGCCCCGCCCCTCAGCCCCCTGGGGGGTCAGCCCAACTATTTGTACAATTTTGAATCCCCAACACCTAGGGATGACGCCAGTCAAATATGGTTGATATCCATCACTTAGTTCCAGAGAAGAAGTTGCTTAAAGCTATACAGCCTAATTGCCCCCTTTTGGCCACGCCCCTCAGCCCCCTGGGGGGTCAGCCCAACGATTTGTACAATTTTGAATCCCCACCACCTAGGGATGCTTCCAGTCGAATTCAGTTAAATTCCAATCAGTGGTTAAGAAGAAGTAGTCATTTAAAGCAATTGTTGACGTACAGACGACGGACGACGGACGCCACAGTATGGCATAAGCTCATCTTGGTCCTTCGGACCAGGTGAGCTAAAAAGCATGTCTCTTGCTCATAATGCTTCCAGCCTGCATACTGAGAAGTTGTTTTGTTGTTTTTGTATGATTTAGACAATGGTTTTGTGTTAAGGACATTCCAATATGGCTGCCTGAGTGAGAACCTGTAGTGAATGGTGTACAGGTAAAATCTCACCTGCTTTGCATGCTTTTTTTTCAACCTCAGTCAGCCTTGTTTACTTTGTGCTCAGTTGTGATTTATTCAGGGGAATTATATGCCATTATTCTGGAGATTTGACACATTTTCTTACAATTTTCTCGACAAATGCATCTCCATGTACATCCAACCTTATGATATTTACAAGTTTAAATGTGTTTTTTTTCCTGAATTGTGACTTTTATTTAGCTTGGAAAATGAACATATATAAAAAGTGAGTTTTTCATCAGTTATTGAATGTTTTTTCTGAAATTTAGTGTGCATGTACCTCAATTATGTTTGAGAAATATTGGAGGATTCTTTTGTGACAGGGATTGTTTAATGCTAACGGAGTGCATTATTGAATTTGATATACAGTTTGGTGTGGCAGCCATGTTGGAATGTCCTTAATTCAGCCTTGCATACTCCAGTGTCTTCGGCTATTGGACTAGCTAGTATATCCTCATATTAAATTTTTTACACCTCTGAATGTTGGCATAAAATGTGTCTTAAAGAGTACTGATTGACTTATCAATAAGAATTTATACAAAATCGTGTTTGATAAATTTAATTATCGAGATCAGTTGATAACAGAAAATAAATTTTGAAAAACAACAGCACCATCAACAAATCAACTTTTGTTAACTGTTATTAAATAGTCTGTCTGTTAGTTGTTATTTTCACAACATGAACAACTTTAAGTACATGATATCAATTATGGTCATATATAGATCAAAACAGTACGTAGTATATACAAGATGGCCGACATTTGTGAACGGGAGAATACTTGCAATTAAGCCCCCTCCCTACTTTTGTTTTTTTGTTTAGGGGTAGGGCCTTATTTGTGGTCAAATACAGTATAATGGTATAACTAGAGTCTGACGGTTAGCATTGTATGGGGTACAGATATTTGGGGTTTGTTATTAGCCTTGGTTGGACGTTAATGTCACCTCTGTGTAATAGTTTTAAGATCAATATGAAGTCTGGCTAGGAAATAGGATTATTTAAATGAACAAATAATTCATCATTGGTGGAAGCAGTTATTTCTCATTTTATGGCCTTTCAAGCTAAACATATCATACAGTAATGTGAATTCATATAAACACCCTTAATAAATCTGTCTGGGTTTTTTAAAACAGTCTTATTTTGAAGTTTGACTTTTATGTAATGAATCCTCAGTGAATTTAAGTAAGGAACGTTCTACAGGTTTTTTTGTTATGTATTTTTAAGAAAATGCATTCAGCAATTTAACTTAAGGTTACAAACAGTTGAGGTGACAGTAAGAACTAAGACGTTCCTACCTCTCTTATATCAAATGTTTTCTTTAGGTTGTCACCAACAATTCCATACAACTCATCCAGGGGATGTACTGGGTCCTCTGGAGGCTCCACCGTCACCTAGCAACAAAGTAATGTAAACATTTACTGGTATCAACTGTCACCTAGCAACAAAGTAATGGAAACATTTACTGATATTCACCATCACCTAGCAACAAAGTAATGGAAACATTTACTGATATTCACTGTCACCAAGCAACAAAGTAATGGAAACATTTACTGATATTCACTGTCACCTAGCAACAAAGTAATGGAAACATTTACTGATATTCACTGTCACCTAGTAACAAAGTAATGGAAACATTTACTGGTATCAACTGTTACCTAGCAACAAAGTAATGGAAACATTTACTGGTATCAACTGTCACCTAGCAACAAAGTAATGGAAACATTTACTGATATTCACTGTCACCTAGCAACAAAGTAATGGAAACATTTACTGATATTCACTGTCACCTAGCAACAAAGTAATGGAAACATTTACTGGTATCCACCATCACCTAGCAACATAATAATGTAAACATTTACTGGTGTTCACTGTCACCTAGCAACAGAATAATGTAAACATTTACTGGTGTTCACCTTCACCTAGCAACAGAATAATGTATGTACACATTTACCGGTATTCACCATCACCTAGCAACAGAATAATGTAAACATGAACTGGTATCCGGGTTTAGAACATCACACTGTACATTTTGAAAGTACAGAACTTCAGTTATCAACCGTTTTCAGATTTTTGGTATAAATTTGTAGGATACCATCATGAACATTGAACACAAGCAGGATTTCATCCATGATTAATAAAATTACCCCCGGGTCCTTTTTGTAGTTGATGTTTTTGATGATACGCCGAGCTATGTGTAGGGCGTGCTGGTCATTCTGAGCGTAGTGGTCAGTTACTCCAGATTTACTACAAAGGCCAAGAGTTTAACATATAAATAACACCACTTCAGAATAAACTTAAAAATATGAATTTCAGACTCGGGACTGATTTTCTCTTCAGTTTATAATGAACTATCTATAACCATTAGTTTTATTATCTTTTAAAGGTGCAAATCTGTGTAAATTACAACTAAGTATCCAGTTTCAATATGATTCATCAGTTCAGAAATATGTATGCATCAAAGTTTTACACAAACAATATATAAATATTTCATAAGGTTTCCAGACTGACTAGTCCCTTTGTCAAGCTATAACTGATCAGTAAGCAATTTGCATGGTCAAAACCTCAATCACATTTGTGCCGATTTCCGAAAAGGCACCTGGGCGATGAGTTGGCCTAATCTCCCAGCATCCTTACGGTTCCCCGGCTTGCAACGGTCGCCGTAAGGTAGCCACCCGATGCCCTCAAACTGTGCGGTGTCCATGGAGTATTCGGCCTGGGCCCACCCACTATCCGGACAGGCATCAGCAAAGGTAAACAAACAGGCACCTGCAGGCGCCATTTTCTCATGGACGAGCTAGGTATAAAACCAGACGATTTGGAATTGTTTCAAAGTTTTAAAGTACTGAAATATCGTACAGGCTATGTTTGTATCCCGTACGTATTCTGCCCCTCACACGAACATCTTCCGGCTACCATACCACAGCCCGGACATCATCAGATAGCCTTGCGGTATCCTTGGGATAGTCATACGGGCTCCCTACGGTATCCTTCAAATGTCCGTTCAATTTGATCCAGCAAATTGTTTGTTTGTTTGTATTCCCATTCTCAGGTAACATTCTAACACAACATTGTACTTAAAAGACTCACAAACAGTGGGACCCATTAATTAGGCTGATGGACTTCTTTCATGGTTACAATCTATCCCATTCTCTTACAGGTATATTGTTGTCACAGGTATAAACAACACAGCATCATGTTAAACAGCCGACATCTGACTGAGATAACATTATTACAGGAGGACTCCCAGAACTATTACAGAACTGCAACTGGAAGTCTTGTGTCACCCAGAGGCCTGAAGCTATTCATGGATCATCTATGCTAGAGTACATTCCATAAGATTCTGATGACAGCTTCCCTAACCATTCAAAACATGTAAACCTTATAAACCTACAGTTATGGAATCTTGGTGTTGATCCTCCATCTCTTACCTACTTGTTGGATGTCTTCACCTATAATTGTATTGGTTCTCCAACAATTTTATTTTATTCTACTAAATATACCAAAGAATGAATTCCTTATATAAACCATTGTATCTTTTGATAGAACTTTCCATCCATGAACAGAATTTTTTGTAGCATTTCTGGGTCTGAGAAAGAAGGTTGTTGAAATTTTAGCCATTTTGACTCTTTTTAGCTCCTCCACTCAGGCCCCAGGAGGGTCATACCCAGCTTCAGTAAAAACTACGATCTTCATCTCAGGTTGATGAATCAATATAAGATTGTTTCAGGAATTGCACTAATGATCCCCTATATGAGCCCTTTGAGGGTCAGCCCTGTCTTGAGTATATATTCTGATCCTTATCATCTAAGTCTTTTGAAGACTCTGTAACCCCTTACGGCCCACACCTCAGCCCCTTGGATTGTAAGCCCCATTTTGAGTATAAATCTGACAAATGGTTTCTGAGAAGTCGAATATGTTATTGTTTACGTACGAGGCACAACAATGGATGAAAGGCCACCTGTGCAAGTCAGGGTACCCAAACAAGCAGAAAATTTAAAAAAATTAGAATTATGTCAGAATGACATGAAAGTCACCCCATCATTCTGTACGATCATTTTCCGATAAATCATTGACCAAGCTACAACGGATATATTTCAACCTGTCAATCAAAATGGTAGACAATGACCAGGTGTAAATACATACATGCTGTTCAGGTAGCCATGCCAACACATGGAATTAATAAGAAAACATGTTGCAAATATAACGTTAGCGTTGACTGACACCTCGAATACGGTGAGATCTTCACGCTGACACGGCCACCTGGCATGGGCAGAACAGGTAATTGGAATATAACGATAGCACAAATGTACATCATCCCTTACCTACACCATCACAATGGTACACCATTGCTTACCTACACCATCACAATGGTACACCCTCCCTTACTTACACCATCACAATGGTACACCACCACTTACCTACACCATCCCTTACTTACACCATCACAATAGTACACCATCCCTTACCTTCACCATCACAATGGTACACCCTCCATTACCTACACCATCACAATGGTACACCCTCCCTTACTTACACCATCACAATGGTTCACCATCCCTTACTTACACAATCACAATGGTGTACACCATCCCTTTCCTTCGCCATCACTAGGGTACACCATCCCTTACCTACACCATCACAATGGTACACCCTCCCTTACTTACACCATCATAATGGTTCACCATCCCTTACCTACACAATCACAATAGTACACCAGCCCTTACCTTCACCATCACAATGGTACACCCGCCCTTACTTACACCATCACAATGGTACACCATCGCTTACCTACACCATCACAATGGTACACCATCACATACCTACACCATCACAATAGTACACCATCCCTTACTTACACCATCACAATGGTACACCATCCCTTACCTACACCATCACAATGGTACACCATCCCTTACCTACACCATCACAATAGTGCACCGTCCCTTACTTACACCATCACAATGGTTCACCATCCCTTACCTACACAATCACAATAGTACACCATCCCTTACCTTCACCATCACAATGGTACACCCTCCCTTACTTACACAATCACAATGGTGTACACCATCCCTTACCTTCACCATCACTAGGGTACACCATCCCTTACCTACACCATCACAATGGTACACCATCACTTACCTACACCATCACAATAGTACACCATCCCTTACCTACACCATCACAATGGTACACCATCGCTTACCTACACCATCCCAATGGTACACCATTGCTTACCTACACCATCACAATGGTACACCCTCCCTTACCTACACCATCACAATGGTACACCATCCCTTACCTTCACCATCACAATGGTTCACCATCCCTTACCTACACAATCACAATAGTACACCATGCCTTACCTACACCATCACAATGGTACACCATTGCTTACCTACACCATCCCTTACCTACACCATCACAATGGTACACCATCCCTTTCCTACACCATCACAATGGTACACCCTCCCTTACCTACACCATCACAATGGTACACCTTCCCTTACCTACAGTGAAGGTCAGCCCCACCTAGATCCTCTGCAGACACCTGTTCCCCTGTAGCAGCCCGCACCTACACATACAAAAACTGATTTTTCAAAATGATATTTCTAAAATCATTTATCAATGAAGAAACATGTCTCTTATCTCAATTTATATATAGGAATGAGAATATATGATTATCTGAATCAAATTTTCATCGATATTGAGTCAGGGTAGATAAGAATGTCTGTTTATGCATAACAAAAGCTCTGCCTTTGCTTCTGGCAGAAATCTAGAATATTCCATTGTTGTACTGCAGTATGGATATGCTGGGGTCTACCTACAAAAAATAGGTAAGCCCTTGTCGCGAAAAACATTTTATCAGAAAGAGGTTATTACATTGTGATGTCAGTGAAAACATATATACATACCTTGGAGTGTACCTCTCTACCCAAATATACAGGGCGCTATATAAATGTTGTATATTATTATTATTTTGATTATTTTACAGCACTGAGTAAAGTGCATACATGTGATGTCTCTTAATATAACCGGAAGTCTCTCGGTTTTGAGCATCAAACTTGATACATCTTCCTCATACATATATGGAGTCACATACCAGTGGAGGGCCTCCTAGGAAGATGGTGCCTTTTTTACGGACAATGACACTCTCGTCTGCCATAGCTGGTACATAGGCCCCGCCCGCAGTACAGCTACCCAGCACTACAGCCACCTATACAAGGGAGACAACTCCAGAGTTAACCAAAGATCACTGATTTAGTATGGCATTTAAACTTTTACAATCTGCATTTTAATATACGTAGCAATTTTTTTTATAAAAGATATTTTTTTATTTAAAGCTTTAAAAGTTGATTTCAAATTACTTTTATACCTGTTAACACTGCCATGTGTATAGGTGTCCTTACTGTTATACCTGTTAACACTGCCATGTGTATAGATGTCCTTACTGTTATACCCGTAAACACTGCCATGTGTATAGGTGTCCTTACTGTTATACCCGTAAACACTGCCATGTGTATAGGTGTCCTTACTGTTATACCTGTTAACACTGCCGTGTGTATAGGTGTCCTTACTGTTATACCTGTTAACACTGCCGTGTGTATAGATGTCCTTACTGTTATACCTGTTAACACTGCCATGTGTATAGGTGTCCTTACTGTTATACCTGTTAACACTGCCATGTGTATAGATGTCCTTACTGTTATACCTGTTAACACTGCCGTGTGTATAGGTGTCCTTACTGTTATACCTGTTAACACTGCCATGTGTATAGGTGTCCTTACTGTTATACCTGTTAACACTGCCATGTGTATAGGTGTCCTTACTGTTATACCTGTTAACACTGCCGTGTGTATAGGTGTCCTTACTGTTATACCTGTTAACACTGCCGTGTGTATAGGTGTCCTTACTGCTATACCTGTTAACACTGCCATGTGTATAGGTGTCCTTACTGTTATACCTGTTAACACTGCCATTTGTATAGGTGTCCTTACTGCTATACCTGTTAACACTGCCGTGTGTATAGGTGTCCTTACTGTTATACCTGTTAACACTGCCGTGTGTATAGGTGTCCTTACTGCTATACCTGTTAACACTGCCATGTGTATAGGTGTCCTTACTGTTATACCTGTTAACACTGCCATTTGTATAGGTGTCCTTACTGCTATACCTGTTAACACTGCCGTGTGTATAGGTGTTCTTACTGTTATACCTTTTAATGCTACTGTTTTGGGATATATCAGGTGTTTTTCGTAATCTGATGACCTGGTGTGGTCAGTCTTGGTAACTGAGTGGAAATGAAGATGAAGTAATGTGACAGATTTAACTGACTCCAATAGTAAGTACAACATGAACAGTTCAATAGAAAGGGATCAAGAATACCATGACAAGTCATTCTTACAGGTCACTAGAGCTACATGTATGTACTTTGTAAGGTAAGAAAGAGAATTGTAATACTTTCGGGAAGTGACAACATTACATTCTTAGGACCAACTAGGTTTGATCTTTAACCTTAAGGTATGACCTTGACCTTGTTCTTTAGTGAAGGGCATCCCAAATGTGACGTTATGTAGTATATGGTATGAAATTATAACAACATAACTTCAAAGTGTACCATTTAGCACTTATTACAGCAAGGAAATGAATCGACTTCCAGAGAAATCTGTGCCTAACTTATAAGCATATTATTTTATATGCTAATTAGTTAGGCACAGATTTCTCTGGAAGTCAAATTTTAATTGAGCCTTAGTCTTTTTATATTATACAAATAACTGACAACTCCATCATATCTACCAGAGTAAACTGACAACTCCATCATAAGTACCAGAGTAAACTGACAACTAAATAATATGTAACAGAGTAAACTGACAACTAAATCATATGTACCAGAGTAAACTGACAGCTACATCATATGTACCAGAGTAAACTGACAGCTACATCATATGTACCAGAGTAAACTGACAACTCCATCATATGTACCAGAGTAAACTGACAACTCCATCATATGTACCAGAGTAAACTGACAACTAAATCATATGTACCAGAGTAAACTGACAACTAAATCATATGTACCAGAGTAAACTGACAACTAAATCATATGTACCAGAGTAAACTGACAACTAAATCATATGTACCAGAGTAAACTGACAACTAAATCATATGTACCAGAGTAAACTGACAACTAAATCATATGTACCAGAGTAAACTGACAACTAAATCATATGTACCAGAGTAAACTGACAACTAAATCATATGTACCAGAGTAAACTGACAACTAAATCATATGTACCAGAGTAAACTGACAACTAAATCATATGTACCAGAGTAAACTGACAACTAAATCATATGTACCAGAGTAAACTGACAACTAAATCATATGTACCAGAGTAAACTGACAACTAAATCATATGTACCAGAGTAAACTGACAACTAAATCATATGTACCAGAGTAAACTGACAACTAAATCATATGTACCAGAGTAAAATGAATTTGACAAAACATGGAATACCTGTGGAATTCTCATGGAGGACATTCTGGCTTGGTTGAAAAAGATGCGGCCGAAATGATCCCGATCTGGAAACACATTTGCCTGACGAGGTAGATTAGCTCCTCCAGAGTCAACTACAAGTAGAATGATCAAAAACTTAAAAAAGTCATTTAAATTTCATTTTTAAAGTTCAACATTCTACAAATATAAAAAGAAACATTAGAAGCCTAAGCAAATATCTATAGCAGATTAATTTCTGAGATCAGAATACATCTACATCAATTGTGTTGACATTTCTGGATAGAACTATCATTTAACTACCTATTATATAGTATTGGAATACATTTAAATATATTATTTTATTTATCTCTATTAAAAATATATGTATTTCCCAATTTGATGATATTAAGCTATAACTTTACCTAAATATATACAAGGGAGACAATTCTGTTGAGCTATTTCCTGTGCTCGGAGGTGTTTTGTGACAGTCACAGGATAGTAGGAACCACCTTTCACTGTGGGATCATTGGCAACTATCAGACACTCCACTCTGTAACAAAGGAAAATAACACCATATGATATCAATCAGTCTGCACTAAAATAAATGGAGGTAACACCATCAAACAGTCTGTACTATAACATAGGGCGGTAACATCATCAGTCTGAACTATAATATAGGGCGGTTACAACAACAGTCTGCACTATAATAAAGGGAGGTAACATCATCAGTCTGCACTATAGCAAAGGGAGGTAACACCATCAAACAGTCTGCATTATAACAACGGGAGATAACACCATGAAAAGTCTGCATTTTAAGAAAGGAAGGTAACACCATCAAACGTCTGCACTATAACAAAGGAAGGTAACACCATCAAAAGTCTGCACTTTAACAAAGGAAGGTAACACCATCTAACAGTCTCCTGGCATTTACACTTACCTCATCAGGGCCGTTACCTCTCACAAATACTAACCCTGCTACACGACCAATCCCTGTGATGATGCCACCGGCTGGTACTTCCTCTTCCCCATAAAGTTTGTATCCAGCCATCTGACTTAGCTCCAGAAATGGTGACCTGTAATAGAAATTATGGAAATCTGAAATAATAAGGTACAGCATAGCACTGCAGTATCTTTTGTACTTTCCTCAAGGAGGAGTTGAAAAACTACCGCCCAGTTTCAAATCTGCCTTTTCTGTCTAAGATCTTGGAGAAGGTTGTGTCCCGGCGTTTAGAGGTTCATCTCCATGCAAACAGTCTCCATGACAACATGCAATCGGCCTACCGCATGGGACACTCTACTGAGACGGCCCTCCTACGTGTACATAGTGATATAGCTTCTGCATTGGATAACAAGTGCAGAGCGGTGCTTGTCATGCTGGACTTGTCAGCTGCATTTGACGTCATCGACCATGGCATACTTTATAAACGTCTGGAATACTCTTATGGAGTGACTGATACCGCACTATGCTGGATACAGTCATACCTGAGTGAACGACGACAGTGTGTTGCCATCGGATCTGCCACCTCACATGACAAAGTACTAGATTTCGGGGTTCCTCAAGGGTCGGTGTTAGGACCACGAAAATATTGTATGTACTCCAAACCGATTGGAGAGATTTGTCGTCGCCATAGCCTTCGCTATCATTGCTATGCTGATGACACACAAATTTACATGGTCATAAAACCACAGGACAGTTGGAATACAGTCTCAGAAAGTCTGGAAGCTTGTCTGACAGATATCAGTATCTGGATGAACGCCAACATGCTTAAACTTAATCAGGAAAAGACGGAACTAATCGTCTTTTCCCCAAAGTGTCAGCAAACAATGGCTCTCCAGCTCAAGGTTGGTGCCAGAACTATTGAGACTGTTCCAGCTGTTAAAAACCTAGGGGTATACTTTGACAGTTCTCTGAACATGGAGAAACAAGTGAACGCTATTGCCAAATCCTGTTACTACCAGATCAGGAACATCGGCTGTATTCGGCAGTTTCTAACTGCAGATGCATGCAAGATTTTGGTGCATTCACTTGTTACCTCTCGGTTGGATTATGGTAACGCCCTGCTCTGTGGTATATCTGACAAACTAACTAGTCGTCTGCAGAGGGTTCAGAACACTGCAGCACGGCTAGTTACTCGTACTCGAAAGAGAGAGCACATCACACCTGCGCTTTATTCGTTGCACTGGTTACCTGTACGATACAGGTCGCAGTACAAAATTCTGGTATACACATACAAGGCACTGAATGGAACAGCTCCTCAGTACCTACAGGAACTTGTTACCCTGTATCAGCCGTCAAGATCACTGCGGTCGGAGTCAGAATCTTTGTTGTGTGTCCCAAAATCTCGTACTGTGACCTACGGAAACAGATGCTTTGGGAGGGTTTCGGCTACGCTGTGGAATAGCTTACCATCAGCTATTAGGAAGTCAAATACCCTGGCCAAGTTCAAGAGGGACATAAAAACTCACCTCTTCACGTCTGCATTTTAGAATCTTTGCAAAGACGTCATGTAAATACCACCCTTTTATTTGTTCAATTATGTGCACATTGCTTGTTAAATGTATGAAAGTGATTGCAAGCCTTTGTTGTTTGTTTTCCCAATTATAACCATTACTATTATCCATATGTTGAAAAGCGCCTTAGAGTAATTTTACAAATTATATAGGGCGCTATATAAATGGTGTATATTATTATTATTATTACTTCACATTAAAGGGCTTAACAAACATACACATAACATCATTACAGTAAGCGGTCATTACTATATACCACAATTTGTTACATTTTGATGTAGATCCTTGATGTCATGTATATTGTTTATCTTCAGTGTACAGTTTGGCATCATCTGAAAATAAATTGATTAAACAGTCATCAATCTTTTCTTTGTATTGTCAGATTGATGTTCTTCTCAGTATACAAAATTTGGCTATTTGTTCCAAATGTAAAAAAAATAGAAAAATATGTGTTGGTAAGACAAGAATGCCCCATGCCAACTGACACTTAGGGACTTAAGCAAGGTCACAGAGGCCAAAGTCAACTATCAAGGTTACAAAAAGTCTTGCAACATGATGTGCTCATGTGTATGTGAAGTTGCCTCTAGCTGCAGTAATTAGTTAATAACTAACATAAATAAGCCATATAAAACTAGAACATTCACCTATGGGCTGTCTAATACCCCCAACATTCCGGCTGCTTGTTGCCCCTGTAGGGGGTAAAAGATCAAGGGTCATGAAAAATCTAACCTAAGATGTCGTATTGACAGAATGATGGAAAAGACAAACACCACTTCTGTGACCTCAATGACCTCGAATATTGTCACAATATAGCTTGCATCAATGCTACATTTACTCCAAGGTATGTGTATACAAAATACCTTCCATTTCTGCCATAATTAGCAATTTCAGTAACATAATGCATCTGTGACCTTTGACCTCATGACCTTGGAAGAAGTTTTGTCATAATATAGCCTGCATAATTGGCTACGATACTCTTATGTATATGTGTATACAAAATACCTTCCGTTTCCAAGATATTTATAGCCATATTCAGTAACGTAATTCATTCGTGACCTTTGATCTTTCAAAAAGCGGAAAGTTGAAACCTGACACAAAAAAAACTATATAAGTTTAACATCATACCTTCTAGTATTACAATACCAAATTTGGAAGGAATTGAGTAAAAAAAATAAAAAAATCTTGCTTTTTCTTTACAAAGTCATGGTCTAGAGAAGGTTTATGAATGACAAAGGGCCATAACTTCGTGAAAAGGGGAGATAACCCACTGTACTTTACGCACATCTCCAAGCTGCAAGGATTGTTATCAGCAAACTTCATTGAAATCCATGCAGTAGTTTAGGAGTACATGGTACTACATTGCGTCCACAGACGGACGGACAACCTGATTCCAGCATACCCTCCCTAACTTCATTGCAGGGGGTATAATTAACATAATCACTTAATTTGTGGTGAGTTTAAACTGGAATGGACAAGCACCTTATACAGACCAGCTCATTTTCTCATTTTAAAAGTCAACTTTTATCGTAAATTACTAATGACAGATTACCTTGTTTTTGATATTCTGTTAATTTTGGATTTTGTTTTGTTTTATTTATGCTGTTCTTTTCAATTATTGTTTAATGAACATAATAAAAAACACATCAGTATAAATTTTTTATTGTGTATAGAACATAATTTAATGGGTACGTTTTTTCTTCGTATCACCAATCATCATTTTGTCTCAAAACATATAATAACATATAATAACATGATTTCTACAGGCGATACCAAACCTTACCAGCACGTTGCTATCAGTCAGACTTCATAGCTTTGTGTAGATAATAACGGATTAGTTACGACTGTTGTACATGGACACACTGACAAATTAATCACTAATGTATTACAAAACGGATCAGATCAATTTATTTGACAGGCCTAACCGGAGATGGTGGACAAGGGAGGTAATTTAAGGTACACTTACTCAGGATCAAGAAGGGTGTTAATTCTGTCACGTGGAAGCATTTTGTCACGAGATAAATGTCTCTCTACAGCTTTCGGCCCTCCTCCTAAAACACATAAATATATTCAAGTCACTTGGCTCCAGTGGTTTTATCATGTTTGATAATGAAAATAATCCATCGATTACAAGAGGTGTTCAAGGACTTCAGGACTGAATATGGACCTTTCTGATTCCTGTCAATTTTTAGAAACAACACACAATATAGTTTGTACAAATGTAACATAACACGTTACAAGATTTACCTTCAGACTTATTTTTTCTTCAGAATGACTCGGCACTCTACCAAGATGCCATAACTGGGCACTATACCTGGCATCTATTTTACTCTGGGGAAAATAACTAATGATTTTTTTTTGAAATTTGATCTAAACTATGAACATGTACCTTTTACTACTAAATGTACTAAACTAGACAAAATTAAATTGTTTTTAAACTGTAATAAGATTATTTAGAAATTTCAAAACACATTCACAATCAACATATGTAAATGTCCATGGTAACATCCCAAAAGACAAACAGTTTATTACCTTGCATTACAGTGGAGACCTTGTCCCGTAAATCTTGGACCAGAGCCTGCATCCTCACATAGTTTTCCTAAACACAATATGTATATTGTATTATTGCTAAATGCTTTCTTACAATTTTAGCTGCTATGAACCATTGATAAACAATGAAATGTGATAGTGACCATTATACAAACTAGAAATATCTGTAAGAAAAATTGAATTGTATTGACCATGTGAAATTAGTTTCAGTGTTTAACGTTTGATGGGACAAGACGTGACGTGAGGGACATGGGCAACACTATATGCCCCCCCATTTTATGGCGAGGGCGTACCAATTATAATGTTAATTCTGTACACAAATTGTTAAGGGTCAGACTGGATGAAGGAAATCAAGCCACAGAGACGTTTTACGAAATAAATGACTTCCATGACTTAGTTTCTACCACACTATATGGCTGCATCAATGAATTCCCTCAAGTTGGTGTCTGTGTGCAAAGTGAGTAAAACGTATGAAAATGAGACCCTGAAGTTGTGGTTCCCTTTTTATTCATGATCTGCTTGGTACGCATTGTAAAATTAAGCAGTATTTGGCAAAGTAATGCAATGATAGAAGAAACTTAAGGATGACGTACAACTCTTGAGAAATCAAAATTTTCCTGTATTATACTTTTTTCTTTTATGCATTTTTTGGAAAAGGGATTAATGAAAAATGCAAAGAATCATATATCTGTGTGTTCGTTTTTGGTCAAAGATACCAATTTGACATTAAATATGATTTTAAGAGAATTTTGTGGTTTTGACCATTTAACCATTTGCAAGAAAAACTCATACAATCTTCCAAGTGTGTTATCAGATATATATACAGTTGTGGGATCGCACAACGTTACACAATGTGCAGTGTGCGCACGATGTGTGAACGGTGTGTGCACGATGGGCGAACGATAAAAAGCTGAACAATCATTGCTTGCGCACATATGTGCGCACGATGGACGGACGTTGTGGGATAACAATCGTGGTTGGTGTAAATTGAGGAATGCCTTACAATTTATACGGTTTCGTGTTTAAACATATAAACATGATGTTTACGTATGTTTCTATATTCTAGCAACATCTATAAACTTATCTTTCTGTCTATATATTCTTATATTTAGGAATTGTGTTTTCTGTGTTTTTAAACAAACTTAATCGACACATGTAAAATTACAACACCATCCCGTATATGTACCTGGACCGTAGTTTTCTGCCCGCCTGGGGCACTTACGTAACTTGTCGGGTAAGGCCGGGGTGTGAAAATCCAGGTGAATGGGAGCTATAGGCAAACGAATGCAAATAACAAATACTATTCATTACGGTCAAACGGTATCGCATATCAGCTCTGTGTGTCAGGCACTGGTCAGGTAAAACTCCGGACACTCATAAAATTGTTATTTACCTGTTCTGTTACCTTGGAGCCAAACCCATTCTTGACAGCCTAACGGTCGCTGTAATACTGTGTAACACGCATTGTGAAATTGTATAATCTTGATTATTGTGATGAGAAATTACAGATATATACACAGTGTACATTATCGCATACAAGCCTTCCGTATTTTTGTCATTCCGTAATTTTGATCTACAAATGATACCAAATCGCACAGTTGTGCGGAGAGAAGCGCACAACGGGGCAAAAGATTGCTAAATCGCACAGTTGTGCGCACCATGTGTGGACGATGTGCGGACGGTGTGTGAACGATGTATGCACGGTGTGCGCACGCTATTTTTGGTGCATTGTGCGGTCCCACAACTGTATGACTCTTTGCAGAATTGACAAAAATAGTATTTTCTTTTAAATTATGAAAGTAAAATGTCTTATTCTTTTAACTCAGAAAAGCAATTTCAGTTACCCCTACAGAAATACTCATTTTCACCATTTTTTCAGATTGAACGTTTAAAAGTTCTACTATTTACCTTTTTTAATATTCAACAATTAAAGCAAAAGAAAATAGCTTACTCTTTCTAAAACAGTCATAAAAATGGGGAGGGGGGGTCCATGTGCTTCTTTTTTTGTCATATTTTTGTGTTATTTTTTCGCCATTCCATTGAATTTCTGAATAAAGTATGTTTTCAATTACTAGTTATGTAACAGGAGAAAGTGGAAACGTAACGGCCAGACCGGGGTTTGAACCCCAGACCTTTCAAACTCTAGACGAACGCTCTAGGCCAATTCAGCTACATGGTCGTGGATGATCGACCCAGTTCAGTTCCGCTACATTACTTCCTTCTTTTTCCAAGTCTTCGCCCCCAAAGATACGACTATTTACAACCCAACTTTGGGAATCCCCTTGCTACTCCCAATTCCTTTAAACAAGGCTTGGCAAGCTCACCAATTTTGTAACAATTTTGTAAAGAGAAAATGTAACCGCCAGACCGGGGTTCGAATCTGGGACCTTCCGAACTCTAGGCGAACACTCTACCAATTGAGCTACCTCAGGTAGCCGATGATAGAATCACTCTAGTCCAGTTCCGCTAGTTATATACAGAGTTACTGTTCTTGGTTGTCAATCCAGTCCAACTCACAATTTGAGACCACCCCGCTATTAAGACTGCTTTGTCAGGCGGTCTTATTAATCGAGAGGTTTCAAAGTTCAGCTAAATTGACATATATTATCATTAAAACACAACTTCTTGGGCTGCTTCCGCATAAGTGTTCCGTTTTGGGTCCACTGACGGTCTACTCAAAACATAAAGAGACAGTGGGTTTGGTAAATGTTATGAGAACAAGCTTAAGGGATGTTATGGGTTATGGGGGTTGTGAGTGGAGATTGCTCTGTGAATGTTGTTAGGGGGAGGGGGTATGCATTTCACCTGGTACTCCGAGGACGATGTCTCGGGCCGTGTTCCTATTGGTGCCGCCTCATCCACGTGAAACCGTCGCCTGCATTGTCGTTTGATCTCACAACGGAGTGACAGGCGTAACAAACTACGCGGCAGCATTTTGAAACCTAGGCCTATTCGTATGCGAGTCTGAAGGTGAGAGTTGTAAACATTGACTGAATTTTGCCACTGTTTCGCATTTTCAGGAATATACAAACAAACAAAAAAAGAATACTATGTTTCATATATAATTGGTTTCAAAAAGTTGAAAAACATTAACTAGACAATCATAAACTATTCTATTAGTAAGAAAAATATTCGCTGACTGAATTGTAAACGTGCGAAACTACAGCTAATCAATGAAAATCCAGCTTCCTCCACGTGTGTATAGACCGGTAGCGTTTTCAGGTCACCCGTGTTTTTTTCTAATTCCTCACCAAATGACGATGTCTTTCATATTTGTTAGTCCTGACAGTGACTTCCCCATACAGAATCTTCCTTATGGCATATTTTCAACAACCAGTAATGTAAGTATAGCGCGATAGGAATGGAAATTCTCGATAGTTGTTTTCTGGAGGTGTGTCCTTGAACACGTCGAAATTGACCAATCGGCGAATACATGTCAATACATTTGCCTACAGTTGGCGTATACCCTTACTGAAAACTAAGTATTGAATTAAAGAAAAGGGGTTGCAAATCCCCTTGAAGTAGAAGAAAAGCCTTATTCTCTATTTACTGTATGATTTCTATGATCAGCATCAATTCAATCTAAAAGCAAGTATAACTGACAAAGTTTCTAAATTTTTAAAAAGTAATATTCTTATTTTATAATCAGATTTTTCACAAGTCCAAAGGACCAGTTATATTATAGGTTAGGTGATTGACTATATATAGTCCTTGCTGTGAAGTTGGCTGTCTTTCTGAACTTGCTGCCTTTTATACTTTGAGATCTAGCTAATCTAGAGGCTTAGGCTGTGCAGTATGGAGAATATCTTTAGTTCATCAAAAACAATTGTAAATAACATCTGAGTCAATAAATTGGAAATCAGTCACAGCCACAGGCTTCTGTTGTGGACAGCCGGAAGGTTACAATGTAAAGCTGGACAGGAACATCCCCTGATTGTGTACCCCTTTATAAATCTGCCATCAGATATTAAAATATACTAAAACTATACATTTTCAAAAATTAAATAGCTGTAGATTTCATATAAAAAGATCTGTCAACAATTACACATTAAAATAATCAGAGGCACTGTATTTCAGTGGCTGATTTACTTGTTGGAGTCCTTTGAAATTTTGATCATTTGCATTGGGAATATTTTTCATTTTGACTTTTTTATAGATTTTGTAAGTTATGTAATGGTATGATGGTGTATTAAATTTAATCAATTTTATTTAATTCAAAACATGCTGCCATCTAACTATTATATTTGATTTTCAGCCAACACCAAGGCTTGGCGTTGCTATAGGGGATCAGATCCTGGACCTCAGTGTTGTCAAGCACCTCTTTGGTGGCCCTGTTCTTCAGAGTCAGCAGGCTGTGTTCGAGGAGGTAATACCCCAAGGCCAAAGGGAGCTAATCATTTTCCATTCTCCATATATATCTATATATAACTGTTCATGTACACTAGTTTTTAATGGCTACCCTGAAGGATTTTTGCTTATTTCAACATATAGCACCTCAATTTAACGTTGTAACATTTTCAACCATTTTGTAAATGACGTAGTACCCAGATAAGACGAAGATTTAGCTTACACCTATCAAAATACGTTATTGAGCCACTGCTGTGCAACATAACAATAATTTTGTTTGCTGTTAGCTCACCAGGTCTGAAGGACCATGGTGAGCTTATGCCATACCGCAACGTCCGTCGTCCGTCTGTCACCTTTTCCTTTAAAACGCTACTAGTCCTGAAGGGCTAAGTTGATTTTGACTAAATTTAGCCAGGAGTATCCTTAGGCCAAGGGGACTCAATTTGTATAAACGGTGGGTGTGGCTACCTTGGGGCAGAGGGGCGGGGCCGAATAGGGGAAATAGAGATAAAAACTTCAAAATCCTTCTTCTATCGTAAGTTACGATTGAGGGATTTTATCCTAATTTAGTCTGGAGCATCCTTGGGCCAAGAGGACTCAATTTTGTATAAACGGTGGGTGTGGCCACCCTGGCCAAAATTGAACAGTAGCATCCTATGGGGAAGGGAAATCAGATGTTATAAATGGTGGGTCTGCCCTCCCTGGGGGCTTAGGAGTGGGGCTGAAGTACTAAATGTACAGCAACATCTGACTATTTCAACTTCAATTTTGCTAACATTTCCAGGTGAGTGATACAGGCCTTCTGGGCCTCTGGTTATAATTGTATTAGAGTATGACATGGCCAGACTTCATATACTTACTATACTACCTACCTATATATATAATTATTAGAGCTAAAAGCACAATCACAGCAAGGGTTTTGACCTTTCTTTCATTTCAGTCAACATTGAATGCTTTTATGGGCCTTGGTCGCCCGGCATGGAAGGAAGCCAGAGAAACATTACAGAAATTGTTGTCTGCAGACGAGCCTCTCCTGAAGGACAACAGTAGCCTTAGGGACAGGTATGGACTTATCAAACTCCTCACACCAAGGGCTATGTACAATAGGAAAATTCTACCCCAAGGGTTTCCTAATTTGGTAAAAACCAGACTTGTCCAATTTGAAAACCTCGAAGGTGGGATTTCCCTATCCTATACTCTTGGGCATGAAAGAGAATCTTTCTGTCATTCCAATTACCAGAATAAGCTCAGTAACAATGAAACTGCATTTTGACTTGGGTACCATTTCGAAAAAATCAACTTTTTTCAACATGTTTTTAGACAGAAACAAATATTGGTCTGCTAGATTTATCATACCCTCTTTCTCCAAACTTTATAAAGAAAAAATAATCCCATCTTACTGATTCATGTGATTAATATTATTTATATAATAATAAATACAACATTTGATATAGCGCCCTATCTAGCTAACCTAAGCCACTCTGAAGCGCTTTACAGTACCTAGATATAATATTATATATAATAGATTTTAATTTCATATGAGCTCTAAGTCAGGACACCGTACCCAATTGAATTGCACCATCCCTGCTTGCTGACCATGTCTGGAAATACCATGGCAGATGTTCCTAAACCACATGACGCCGGACAAGGGTATCCCTCCCACTGCAGATCGGGCGGGCTTTCCCTTTATACCCAACCCCCTGAGTGAGCACTCCCAGCACCAAGGTCGGCTCAGGCTCCTCCGCTTAGTTTGCGAATAATTCCTCATCCAGGTCCATCATACACATCATTTTTAGCTCACCTGGCACGAAGTGCCAAGTGAGCTTATGCCGTGGCGCGGCATCCGGCGTCCGTCCGGCGTCAATATTTTACTTTAAACAACTTCTTCTTAATAACCAAAATACCTAGGGTAATGATATTTGGCCTGAAGCAAACTGGGATGAAGGGCTACAAAGTTTGTTCAAATTAATGACCTTCACCCATTTTAAAGGTCACAGGGGTCAAATATGTTTAAAACTTTAAACATCTTCTTCTTGATAACCAAACTGCCCAGGGAGATGATATTTGGCCAGTAGCATGCTTTGGTGAAGGGCTACCAAGTTTGTTCAAATGAATGACCTTCAATTATATTCCAGGTCAAAGGGATCAATTTGTTTTAAAAAACCTTTAACAACTTCTTCTGAGTAACCAAAATGCCCAGGATGATGATATTTGGCCAGTAGCATGCTGAAATGAAGGGCTACAAAGTTTGTTCAAATGAGTGACGTCGACCTTCACCCATATTCAAGGTCACAAGGGTCAAATATGTTAAAAATTTTAAACAACTTCTTCTCAATAACCAAAATGCCCAGGGTGATGATATTTAGCCAGTAGCATGCTGAGATGAAGGGCTACAAAGTTTGTTCAAATGAATGACCTTCACCCATTTTCAAGGTCACATGGGTCAAATATGTTAAAAACTTTAAACAACTTCTTCTCAATAACCAAAATGCCGAGGGTGATGATATTTAGCCAGTAGCATGCTGAGATGAAGGGCTACAAGGTTTGTTCAAATGAATGACCTTCACCCATATTCAAGGTCACATGGGTCAAATATGTTAAAAACTTTAAACAACTTCTTCTCAATAACCAAAATGCC